AGGCTTCGGACATTCACTGGCTGTGTGACCCAAGGCAAGTCATTTAACCTCTGTTTGCCTTAATCCACTGTAGAAGAAAATAGCAAGCCACTTTCCAAGTTTTGAAGAGTCAGACCTGACTCAATAACAACAAAAGGCTCTTAGAGTCAATTACTGCAGGTGGTTGTGTGGGCAGAATATGCTGGCAATATTGCCCTTCACATGGGAAAGGGAGAACCTGGGCTTTCTGGTCCTTGGCATTCTGTGGTTGGTAAGCCTTGGAGCAGAGAAAGATGGAGTTAAAGTACAGATCAAGATTCCTGGAAGCCAGTAGCAGCAGAAAAGGAAGACAAGGTGAGGGGCAACTGTCCAGGACAGACTTGCCTCATCCAACTCTTCTCCCAGTCTGTTTCCCAGTTGGTTTGTCTCTTCATCAATTTGATAATATGCCAACATTTAAATACCTACCTGCGTGCAAGGTACTGATCTTGGCTCTAGGAGCTTAAGATGTACCCAAATAATATAAGGTAAAATGAGCTATCCGAAATGGAGGGATAGAGACAAAATGCTGTAACAAGTATGAGCTATAACAAGTCATTGCTTTTAGCTAGGAGTATCAAAGAAGCCTTCATGGAGGCTGTGCCTGCAGACCTGGGCATAGGAAGATTTCAAGATATGTAGATTCTAGGCCTGGATTACAGCTTGCCAAAAGGCATTGGATGCAGCTGACTGAGGGATAAGGCCAGAAGCCATTAAATGAACAAACATAGAATTCTCACACCTCCCTTTTCCGCAGGACAGTATGCCCATGAGTGGGAGGATAATCCATCACATCCCAGTTCTACTCTTCTCATTGCTTGGGTGTCTCACTGTTATACTGAGCTTGCTTGTCACTGTTCCAAACGAGCTGGGCAGAGGCTCACCGTGGGTTAGAAAAATGGAAGTGAACTACATCGGCAAACACCGCATCCAGTGCCTTCTTCTGCTATTTCTCTTGCGTAGAGCCCTGAAGCTCCGGAAATATTCCGAAATCGCCTATACAGCATTGGTGACGCAAACTGGATAGTCAAACCAGGTGTCAGAGTTCCCAAGCCGCACGAGCCAATGAATAACGTTTGCTCTTGGTCGGACACATGCAATCTCCCTCTTCGAGACTGTATAAAAGTTGTTCCCTGGGCGGCGAAGCCCAGGAGAGCTTTTCACCTGCACCCTGTGTCCTAGGACTCGGGCGATGAGGGGTCCAGTGGGGCTGAGCCCCCAAGCCGCAGGAGATAGGAGGGAGCCACGAAGACAGGGACCTGGGACATCACTCAGTCCGTCCCCGGCCACAGCCACATTGGCACCAGACCAGACAGAGTCCAGTGCAGGCAGCAGCGCCCTCTGGCGCCAGACTCTGCAGAGTCCGTCCCGTCTATTCCCCACCCCCAATTTCATCCCCAGTCTGGATCTTCCTCTGGAGAGAATGGGCTCCGCTTCTCTCATACCCTTCTCAGCCCCATAACGGAGTCCCTCAGAACCCTGACCAGGATTTGGAGGGGTGGAGTCGGAGGTGGGAGGGGGGTGTAGGGCGGGACTTGTCTTGGGCCAGTCTCCCTTCCCCAGACAGGCTCCGGGAGGCGGGGGAGAAGCTGGCGATTTAGGTTCCAGAGAAACTCGCGTCCTTCGACCGCTTCCCGCCCCGGGAAATGAGCCGGGGTCGAGAGGCAGCAAACAGGAAACTGGACTGTAACAATGAACACGGGTGGGGGCGAGGTGGGGGGAGGGAGGAAGAAAGGATGGATGGAGAGAGGGCTGTTAGGAGGAGGGGGTGGGCCAGGAGCACCCCCTGGGCCCGCCTCCCCGGTGCCAGCCCCGGTGCCCGCCCTGGGCACTTGAAGGCACAGACTGTCCACTCTCCCCGCACTTCCAGGGACTGAGCTTTGCTGGGCTGGGCCTGAGCGAAGCAGCTGCCCTGGCAGGTGTAGGGCTGACCCTGGACTCTGCAGGGCGCTCCCGAGCCCTTCCGGCCCTGCAGGGTTTCGGTCTCTGGCCACCGTCGGGGCGCGCGCAGACCACAGGCTCTTTCTAGCCACATCACGCTGGGGCTCGATCTTCTTGGGGGCGGGGGGAGGGAGGAGACCGCCCCGGGAAAGCAGTTCCGGGCCCTCCCAGCCTCAAACCCATCCCCAGGATAGAAATATAGTCATAGTTCCCTGAGTGAATCACTTCCATTCCCACCACAGAACGCATGAGGCCACGTGGGGGGAGGGAAGGTGTGGGTAAGCTTTCCCTCGGGATCAGCTGCCGGGAGGAAACCTCAGAGCCAGGCTTCCCTGCGGAGAAGATTGCAGCGTCACAAAGAGGGGGTCAGGGAACTATTCGGGCCTTGATTGAGCAGGGCGCGGTCTTCTACAGGTTCCATCCTTGTAAAGAGGGTTTTACGGGAGACAGCAGTGGTTTAGCGGATAGAGAGCTGCCTTTGGAAGCGGGAAGATATGCATTCAAATCCTCTCCTCTGGCCTATAGTGTCTTTGTGATCCTGCGCAAGTCACTAACCCTTTTAGTGCAATCCACATTGATAGAGTTTCCTTCATACCCATGGAATTACAGGTCCAAGTAATTTTGGTAAAGTGAAACCTCGATTTCTGCACGCAGGTAGAAGGAAGGGGCGGGTAGGGAGCAGGTGGACACAGTTTTTCAGTTTTCAGTAGCTCCCATTGCCTACAGTGAAGGAGTGGGTGGTGGGTGGGGAGAAGCAGGACAAGTGTGCAGGTCCACCTTTCTCCTTCACGGCCCTTAGGCTGAGCCTCACTGTGGTTCCAGCAGGAGAGATCCCAGAGAATTCTAGCCCTTGCAGGTATCGCTTGATCTTGAAGATTTCCTACTGAAAAGCAAGGTTGGATATCTCCTGCCAGTTTCATGAAAAAGGTTCTGGGCTTCAAGTTTTAAAAAATTCCAAAGCACACAATTATTCTGGGAAATAATGGTTTAGGTTTGATAAGATGATTTGCAAGGGATTCTTAAAAGCATTTCAGTCTTTTTACAACTCAAACCTGGCCTTGATACTTTTACACCTCGGATTTTTCTTAGGTTACCTTTCCACCTAGCCTAGGTTTGGATGTTCTTGTGGAGGAGAGGAAGGACTTGGACCCATAAGGAATTCTACCTGGGGTTCTTCTGCAGGAGCCAGTCCATATGAGTAGGAGGAAATTCAAATCCGGTAGATTATGTGAAGACAATTCCCCTGCCCTTTGGCACAACTAGCTGTCAGTTGTGTGGAAAAGGGGACTTTATAAACCCTGGGTTTGAGGCTCCAAAGGAGGAACGTGACAATTTCTCTCCCTTCCATGAAAAGAGAAGCATTATCCTTCTTTTGGCATTATCCAAGTTCTGAGCAGACGCAAACAGAAATACAGACAGAAACACACAAGCGCGCGCACACACACACACACAATCTAAGTCTGTACAGCCAGACAAAGCTTTGGGAATCTCCCTTGAACCACATGTGTGGTTGGATCCATGTCTTCTGGGAGCAATATCCCAGATGTAGGCAACCCTACTGGTCTCTAATTTAGGTGGCCTGTCTCAATACAGCATGTCAGTTTTTATTATGTGGACGTGCAGGGTTGCGGGTGTCCTACCTGTCCTCCCCCCACATGGGAGCCTCGTCATCTCTCCCCCATGTCCTGGCTACAGCTTCCCCCACCCCCCACGGCCCGGGAGCTGCTTTCCTGTTTCATTTTGGGCAGGAAGAGTGAGGTCGTGTTGTTCTTCCCATCACTGCCGGCGCAGGCTGTGGGAACAGCACTTTGGCTGCTTTCCTGTTTGATACCCTGTGTATACAGCGGGACAGAGGGTGTATATCTCTGACTGTATCTTCTAGTGGGTGTATGCATGTTTGTGTGTGCGTATATTAGTATTAACCTGTGTATGTATTTTACACAATCAGTACCTAGGTCAGAGTGTGCATGTTAAGTGCCATGTGGGAGTGTGAGCAGGTCCTGTGTTTGATCTTGGTACTTAATTAGGAGCGAGGCATCTGGTGGGTTTATTTCGCTTTGCTGGGGACAGACTCTGAGCTCAGAGCATCTGCTCAGCTTTTTGTCAATGGTTTTTTGAGGCCCTTTTTAAAAAAATCATTCACTCCAGTGACTGCGTACTGCTGGTAAGAACTATAGTCCTAGGGAAACCATCCTGAGTAATGGCAAAATAGAACTGGGTAGGGATTGGAAACTCTCTCCCTCTCCATTTCTTCAGCTGAAAAAACATACATGCCAGTAAGGTTTGCTCTTTCTCGGCATCCCACCCCCAAATACCGTACCTCGTGCTAATTGCTGCAAGCTAATGTTTATAGGGGTTAGGCTGGTGGTAGACTTTGGGTTCCTACCATAAAAATTACCAACTGCAGCGCTTTCCTCAAAGTTACCAGATACTAGCACCCTAAGGGTGTTGCCCGAAACCCCCAAGCTCCAACAATAGCAACAATAGCTATCATTTATACGGTGCTTTAAGGTTTGCAAAGAATTTTACGAATTCTTTTTGTTCATTTAATCCCTGCAACAACCCTAAGAAGTGCTATTCTTATCCTCATTTTTACAGATGAAGAAACTGAGGCACGGAGAGGTTAAGTGGCTTGCCCAGGGTCACAAAGCTAGTGTCAGAAGCAGGATTCCACCACAGGTCTTTTCCTGACTCCAAGTCCAGTGCTCTATGTACTGTACCACCCAGTTGTCTATCAGGGTTGGAGTCCTGGACCCACAAACCTAAGTGGAAGGAAAAGAGAAGCAGACCCAATCTTCTCCTTCGTGAAGTAATTGTGAATTGCCCGACTACGTCTTGCTTCTCTTTCAGACAGAAAAAGAAGGCCAGGAGAGATTTTCCTATAGGAATAGTAGAGGGAAGAGGCCCACCTAGAGCCAGCATCAAAGCATACAAAGGACAGATTTAGACTGAGCTGGCTTCTGCACGCATCCACACATAGCATACCCCTCAAGAGCTTGGCCAACTCCAGGAGATAAAAACCATAGCTAGACAACAACCGCTTGGCAGGCAGGGCTTGGCATTGTTTAAAGGGGGAAAAGGGTGGTAGGGGTTGGGAAACATTCCAACTCATCACAAAGATAGGACCCAAGAAGTAATAAACCTCTGTACATTTCTGTTCAGGATTATAAATACACATTATATACAAAATAATGTTATAAAATGTAGAAAGGTCAGTGCTTCTGATTCTTAAATTATTGAAATACTAGAACCAAAAATAAAAACTACAAAAAAAACCAACCCCATATTATTGATTTTTGAAAGTCAGCTTCAAAAGTGATCCAAGGGGCAGTAGTGAACAGTGAGAGCAGTATCAGGCCCTTGTCAGTGTAGATGGTTGTGGGTTGATTTTTTTTGGGGGGGGGGAGTAGAAATGAGGGAGAGGGAAGGAAGAGGATTCAGGCAACATCACTGTCCCCAACTTCCTCAGGTTTTGCAATATTATTGGCCAAAACTCCCTCCCCACCCCACTCAGGCCAAGCACCCCTAGACTACCTCAATTCTGGGTAACTGAACTTGGCCTAACGCACATTGCTCAGCCGATGAATGAGATTATAGCCACTGTCAACCCACAAAGGCAAGGGTACCGAGAGCCTGTTTTCCCAGCAGCCTAGCCCTGCCCCTTCATCTCATCTGTTCAGGCTGGTGTCTTGGTGCCATGGCCATGCGGACCAATGAGGCAAGCTGGAAACTGATTGACTGACGCATAGGAAGGGGAGGTGGAAAGTATGCCCTTTCTTTCTCTTCATCCCTAACCACTAGTGATCCCATAATGGGCATGGGGAGGCAGGAACTAAAGCCTCAATAAACTGAGGCAGGAGGTTGGAGGGGGGCATTAAGGGGTAAAAACAAAAATGAAATGAAAAGGCCCACATGCAGTAGTTTGGAGGCACAGGGCAGAGAGCTCTCCTCTCCCTTCAGGCCTATACCCCAGCTCGAATGGGGCACCCCCTCACTCCTCTAGTATTGAGGTTCTATCACCACCCCCAGAAAACTTGCCCCTTCTCTTTCCCTCTCTCCCCTTGAAGTTATGTCCAGCTGTTGCCCCAGTCCTCAGGTCCTGAGCTGGAGGCACTTCAGGAAAAAACACCGATGATGCTGGTTGGGGCCAGAGATGCTTGGACTTCGGCCCCTTGAAACATGGAGCACCGAAGGTCACCACCAAGGAGGATTGAGTCCTGGCCCAAGCACCCAACAAAGGCGGCCATTAGCTGAGCAGGCAGAGGTGATTGAAGTCTCTTCTGCTCTCCTCTCCATCTCCCTTTCAGCCTGTGGCAGCCCCACTTGAAGGACTCCAAATAAAGGCATCCAGAAGGTAGAGAAGGATATTGCATCTCTTGGTCAATTCACAGTCTGTCCAGTTCACCCAGTCCCCTCCTCTTCCTCCTCCTGAGAGCAGCACGTTGCATAATAAAAACGTCCCCATCCAGGTCGCAATTGTAAACAATGCAGTAGGGAGGTCCAGCTGCTGGGGCCAAAGCCGGGACATCCTGGCCGGGCTCCTGCCTTATACCTATGAGAAATAAAGTAGGGGATGAAAAAGAAAGAAAAGGTTAGTCTGGGTCAGAGGATGATCCATTTAGGGCTAGATGGGGCCCAGAAGCCACGTAGTCCAATCTCCTCCTTTTACGGATGAGGGAACTGAGTCACAGAGAGGTTTATTAACTTGCTCAGGGTTACATAGCTACTGAGTAGGATTTGAACCCAGGTTTACCCTCACACCAAGTCCAGTACCCTATTCACTACACCATTCCCACCTTTTACCTGACCGGCCAGTTAATGGCAGGTAAAGAACCAAGCTCAGTTATTATATTGAATGGAGAAAGAAAGGGAAATCCACCGTCCTTTTCTGGACCCTTCTGCCTCTACCACATACCACAGCTTGTAATGCTATGTACAGCATACTTTAGAACAATCCCCTATGATGGAAGCTGGGCCAGGGCCGTAAAGGCAGTGTAATATGGTGATGGGGTAAAGGCGTGGGGGTGGGGAAGCAGGAATGGAAAGAGAAGGGAAGAAGAGTCTCCCTCACCCACTAGCAGCTGGGACACAGAGCCTGGGAGTCGGCCTAATGCCACAGCTGGCCCAACCCAGCACTCATAGAGGAGGAAGGGGCCCGATCCTGCCTCTCCAGAGCTCTTGTCTCATACCCCAAGTAGGGATGGGGCCAGCAGAGACTGAACAACCACTGGCTGAATGCTGCCTGTCCAGGCTAAGTCCTGACATCTACCCCTATTCAAGAGGCCAGAGGCAAGTGGTAGCTAACCATAACCATCAGGATAGGGTGAACTGGGTTTTCTTCAGAGTCCAAAGGGACAAGGAAGGAAATGCACACACACACACACACACACACACTATTCCAGGCCCCCTCACCCCTAACTCACCTCTGTGGCAATGACACACTCATTTCTCTCCTCTGATATCAAACACACTGACTGGTACATGGAATCCCGAGGGGAACATATTGCTGATATCCGACACTCTGGCTTTTCACTGCAGGGAACAAGAGGCCAGTGTGAAAAACTGAAGTGAGGAAGGAGGGGGAAAGACGGCAGGAGAAGCAAGAGTCAAGACAGTACAAGAGAACCGACCAATGTTTACAACCTATTCAATGTCTCTGCTGAACGTCAAGGAAATCCCAGTGTGGCCAAAAGAGAAATTCAGGAAGGATTTGAAGACCGCCCCCAGGTACTCGGATTCACTGTCCCTCTCAACCTGACTGAAGACTGACCCCTAGGTCTTTGAAAAGGCTAAAGTTCCCACCAGAAGTGTGAGTGGCAAGCATAAGCTGGAGAAGGGAAAAGAGAGAGACTGGATCTGTCTAGGGGACTTCTGGGTAAGGGGATTCCCTCTACAAATGCAGGTCAGCACCTTCTCTGCAATATATAGTCCTAGAGAGTGACCTAGAGCACTGAGGTTAAATGACTTGCCCCAAGGTCATACAGCCAGTGTGTGGCTATGGTGTGACTTCACCCAAAGTCTTCCTGACTTTGATGCCAGCTCTCTGTCTCCACTACATGCTGCCAGTCAGTTGAGGTAAACAGAGGTAAAAAAAACCAGGATCTTAACAACCCTTTTCCTCCCAGGAACCCTATTCCTGAAGGACCCAGTGGTATCTGGGAGTTCACCCTAAGCTGGCTTGCTTTGTCTCCTGCAGAAGCATTCCCTAGCAGATGCAAAACTGAACAAGAGGCACTGGGAGAGGTGACGGTCCCACAGGAGAAGCCAAAGCCCCTTTTAGGTCCCCCTTCCCCCACGACCAGTCCAAACCCTCACCTATGTAGCCGTAGCGGTGCCTTCTCCCCTAAGCTCTTGTCATTAGGGGGATACTTCCCCAGCGTGACCCCCCGCCCCAGAGGTCCTGGGGCCAGATTGTAGTCTGTGTGTTTCTGCTGCTTGCTGCAGTTGGATTTGTCCACATCACAGTCCACTTCTAGCTCCTTCTTCTGGTTGGTGTTCTTTAGCTGGGTGGCAGGAATGAGGTTGTCTTTCTGAAAGTCTGACAAGTTGTTCATGGCCTCCCTGCCACCGGCCTCTGGCCGCCGAAGCCGAAGCTGCCTCACGGCGACTGCCACCATCCCCAGGAGCACCAGGATGGCCGCCAGTCCCACACCCAGTGAAACGGCCACCCAGGGGAAACCTGAAGTTGGCTGCGCCACCTGCGCTGTAGGGAACAAGTATTCGCAGCGACTGCCCATGAAGTCATAGGGGCAATTACAGACGAAACTGTCTGAGGAGAGGCCCGTGTAGCAAGTGCCTCCGTTTAGGCACGGCCCCGAGACACAGGCATCGCTCGCTGTCCGAAGCTCGCAGTTCCGGCCTGAGAAGCCAGGGGGACATGCACAGACGTAGGCATTCACCAAGTCATGACAGGTGCCACCATGGGCACAGGGATTTCGTGCACAGTCGTTGATGTTGATCTCACAGTGGGGGCCACTGAATCCCGGGCGGCAACGGCAGGCACGAGTAGGACCCCATTCTAGACACTGGGCCCCTGGAGGGAAATGAAAGGGAGACTTGGGTCAGCCCCTGCTTGAGATCTGAAGGCAGGAAGAACCCTTCTTCCCAGGGATGGAGTCAGAGGGTCTGTCCCTATAGTAGAAGGGAATTCCTAAGGGCTGGCCTTCACAGCCTCCTACCTTGTCATTTTGATTAATTCAACAAGTATCATATTGGCCCGAATTTAGCTCACATTCTTTCCTCTTAGACCAGAGTCATTAATGGTGTCCAACCCAACTCCCTTTCTCCCACCACCATCTTGATTAGGTACTGACTACCAGAGTAGATGGAACCAATCACCCTCACCAAGACACCCCCTCAACTGGCTGAGCTCGGCTCTCTGAGCCCACACTCCTTCCCTACTTCCACCCCATTCTGTCACTTGGTGATGAAAAAAGTCTTCCACTGATCACTGCCTTCCCACCCAAATGCTGCCTCAGGCCTGGACAAGCAATAGAAGGCGGTCTCAGAAGGTGGGCAATTCAGAAGGGCCCAAGGTGGGCAGGAAGGGAGAAAACGGGACACACCGTTGGCACAAGGGTTGCTGGTGCACCTGTCCACCTTCTTCTCGCAGTTGGAACCGGTGAAGCTGGGGGGGGCACTCGCAGGCATAGCTGGCCCCATGCTCTTGCTCCCGACAGGAGCCCCCATTGAAGCAGGGTGAGTCGGCGCAGCTCAGGATGCTGTGCTCACAATGAGGGCCGTAGTAGCTAGGTGGGCACAGGCAGTGATAGCCATCTTCCTGATCCTGGGGAAGAGGAGGCCCGGGTGGCCAGAGTCAGACACTAGCCTTGGAGGAGTAGGAGGGGGAGGGGAGCCAGGAAGGGCCAGACTAGACCCTAAGAAGCAAGCTTTCCTAGCGGTACCTTAATCCCAGTACTGAAGCAGTTATCTACTTGCCTCCTGGGTAGACACACTGTTCTACAAAATAATTTTTCTACTCTCTCTTCTCTTCCCTCCCTGGGCCCAGAGGGTCGTGTTGGGCTCCGAGGGTAAGAACTGGGAAGCAAAGAGGGACACTCACCTTGCAACTTCCTCCATTGCGACATGGGTTGCTGTCGCATTCACTGATCTCATTTTCACAGTCTACACCTGTGAAGCCTGGCCGGCAGGTGCACGTGTAGCCACGCTGACCGCTATTGGAGCATGTGCCCCCATTCTGGCATGGGGCATGGTGAGTACAGTAGTTCAGGTCTGCAGAAGCAATTGGTTGAATGGATTAGGAAGCAGGGATGGGAAACAAATGTAAGTAGAGATCTTTCAATGCAAAGTCACTGAACTCCACAGGAAGGACTCTGAATTTTGGCCTCGACTCCACAAATGTAATGTCTCCATAGCTTATATAGATTTCTTGACCCCTATCTTTTTTTTTTTAAGGATGGAGATGTGCTAATGTTTCAATGACTACTGAATTTCAGGTTTTGTTGGATTTCCACGTGTGAGAATAACAAATAGCAGATCCAGCCAAACAAGGACAGAGAATGAGGGCAGAAGGGAGATATTCAAATATATTCATTAAATGACATAATATATGCAAAATATTTTGCAAACTTTCAAGTACTGTATAAATGACTATATAAATGTTAGCTATTATCATCACCATCATCAAAACACAAGGTTCCTTCTTTGGTAGACATACTTTGGAATAAGCACTTTAGCTTTCATTTTAGATATCACTTGTAACATTTTATAGCAATTCTTAGGTTGCCTAAACTTATGAAGGCACTTGTCTAAGGGCTGGTTGACTAAGGAGGAAATAAATTGGACTGAGGAAAGGGGACTTCCTCTCCCTGCTGTGAACACACACTTGGTGTCTATAAATGTAGGCATCTTGTGTACTAAAGTACCTTAAAGGTCTGAAGGAGGGAAGAGGCCTCCTTTATTGGTCCCCTGAATGACCATTAAAGACATAGGTCCAGGGGAAAATAAAGTTCAGTGTATAATGAGAACAGAGACTGCAGACATAAGATTGTATATTTTTGTGAATAGAGTGTGTTTGTACACTGCTGACTCCAAGAAGCACCTACAGTTAGCCAGCTTCTGGGTCTTGGGAGCACACCTACTAGACAGCTGTTAAGGGGAGAATTACACAAACAGCAGGGGTAAGGTGAATAAACAACTTACGGGGTTAATAGATAACTACCCCAGGTGGAAAAAGGAACCATGCATGATCCTCCACTCCCCTCCCTACTCAGTCTTGCCTTGGTATTTACAAGCCCCATCTCACCAAAAGCAACAACCACTTGGCTTCACACCCTCTCTAGTCACCAAGACCCATGAAGACCTTAAAGAGAAGCCTGATACATTCAATTGCAAGCTCATAGGTCCACTATACATATTAATTATGATGGTGAAAACTCAAGCATCTTCTGCTGTGCTGGAGAGGCTTGAGGGAACAAGGTAGCCAAATAGGTTTTGCCTATCTGGAAACCACACAGAATGGAAACAATGCAGGGCAAACACACTTGCTCCATGCTTCTCTTCCCTGTCCCCAATCTGCCACTCGTTCCTTCTAAGAGACCCCCTTCTCTTCTCTTGAACCCACCTTGATCACAGAAGAGGCCACCCCAGCCTTCATCACAGGTACACTGCCAAGGAATGCTACAGGTACCATGTCGACATCCATTATGGGGGATACACTTATCACATAGGCGGCCCTGCCAGCCTGGTCGGCAACTGTGGAATGGGAATGAAGCCTCGTGAGGCACATTGAAGGCATGGGGGAACAGTAACCATGGATTCCACCCCCCCCCCAACAACTTCTTTTGAAGTTACTTACAGGCATTCCCCAGGTTTGTTGCAATAACCATTCTGCTCAGTGCAGCCTGACAGACAGATGGCTGAGGAAAGAAGATAGGGCTACGTGAATATGTGTCTTGGCAACAAGTAGGCATCAAAATCCAAGCTCTCTCATGACTGACCTTGAGGACCCCAGCAGTTAATGCAGGAAGATCCTCAAAAGGCAAGTACTACAAGGGGTCAGGAAAGTAAGCTGAGGCTCAGAGAAACAGGACTGGTCGGGGGATGGCAGAATAGTGTTACTTAAACTAGATAGATTACTTGTCTAGGGTCCTAAGGGTTGTCAAACCTAGGGAGTTTCAGCCAGAGTCAACCCAAAGGCATATGAGATTAAGATAAGTGCCTGATGTTGTGTTATATTTACTGTAGGCTACAGGGCCAGGCCCAAGGGGCTTTCCCAAGAGTTCTGTGAAGGAAAACTGGGAGCCAGAGCCCATAACATCTCTTTTGTCTTCAGGAGGACACTGAGATCTGTAGCAGGAAGTGGACCTCCGTACTTACGCTGGCCACAATATTCTCCAGTCCATCCCGGCAGACAGGAGAGGCTGCCATCAGCTTGGCACACATAGTGTCCAAAGTGGTCATCTCTGCTTCTACAGAGCCGAGAGCAGCTATCCCCATAGTAGTTGTCACTGCAGATAACTCGGTAAGAGTATCGGAGTCTTGTGAGGGGCCCACTCTGCTCATCCAAGGACCAGTTCTCACCCACAGCCAATGGTCTTTGGATAGCCATCTTGCTGATAAGTGTATCTGCAGGAAGGGACTCTGAAAGGCAAAAGAATAGTGATTAGTAAGACTGGAATATTCTAGGAAATTTCCATCGTACCCACAGGCCCCAAGAGCCCCTTTCCCTCATTTGCCCCTGCCTGGGATGGTAGAAAACAGTCCTCCTGTAGGCAGGTCAAGGTGAAGCTATGAATGAGCATAGATTGTTACTTATTCCAACAGATGGACAAGATTACTGCCACTAGGGATCCCCAAAAACGCAAGTAAAAATTAAAGGATGCTGTCTTCATGGGGAAGGAGGGCAGAGGATGGCATAATAGGGGAATGACCCGCTAAAATCAAAGAAGCAAATCGTTTTCCAGGCTTCCTGGACAGGGCACAGCAAGCTCCCATGGGTGCCCTATCCCTTGGCTCTGTATAGGAGAGGCGGGGAGAAAGTAGGGTGTTGAGTTTTTTTTAATCCCCTTTTCAAAGTGAGAATTGTTGTGCTGCTGAAATATCCTTTTCCTCTGTGTCAGAACAACATCCCAAAGCCATTATTCCCTTTCCAAAAGAGCGGAATTCGCAAAAGGTGTAAAATACAGGAAGGGGCCCGTCAGTGCCGCTGGCAACCACTGGCCTTTCTCACCGCCATGCTCCCCACGTTCCCACGCCAAAAATAACCCGCAGGAAACTCAATTGTGCTAGAGATTAGGGAGCAGGAGGAATCAGAGCGGCCAGAGAGGGGCGCAGCTTCTGAAACCAATCGAAGCAAGCCAGACGTAGATCACACCACCTACAACCTTCTCGTCGATGCTTTACCCCTCCCCAACTTAAAAAAAATAAAATCTCACTAGTTTTCTCCCCCCATCCCCCGGTTAACCCTTCAGGCCCCAGCAGTGTGCTGCGAGATATCGCCCCCCCAGTGGCCTCAAAACCTGCTTCTCACCTGGTGGTAGGTTGTCCCCCGGCGCGTGCCAGGCCTCAATGATGAGCGAGAAGGTGCCCTGGGGAGACGAGAGAAAGCTATGAGTGAGCCCTGGAGAAGGGGAGGAGCGGGGCTGCCTACGAGAAAGGGGAGGGGGGACGAGGAGAGAGAGGCAAAGAAGGAGGGTAGGAGGGGGAGGCTGCCGGGCGGCAGCAGGTTTAATTAACTTAATTGCGGGATACAATTACAGCGCCCCAGGTCAACATAACGGGTTTGCTGGAGTACGCGAGCGGGCGGAGAGAGGCGGCCTCTTCTCCAAGCTTCACGAGCTAACGCATTTCTTTCCTCCTCCCCACTCCCTCAGAGAGTTCGGGGATTTTGAAATCTAGGAATAGAAAGAGGGGACGCCTCCCCCAAGGCTTTCCAAGACGCCTCCGGGGGCGGGCGCTCACCGGCCAGGTAAAGTTAAACGGCAGCTGCAGCGGGTTTCGGCCACCCCCGCGGCTCTCCTCTCCGACGGCGAAGGAGTTGGTGCCCAGCACCGGCGTGGATACCCTGCCAAAGGTACAGGGCCCAGGAGACAAAACTGCCTGGAAGTGCTTGAGGCAGATGCGGAAGAAGGTCCGACAGTGGGGCTCGCAGGGCCGGCCGCTGGCCAGCACTCCTCGTTCATTGGCAAATTCACGAAGCTGAAGCTGAAAGACTCCCGAGCCGGCTGCCCGCTGCTACAGAGAGACGAGACGGGACGGGAAGAGAAGGGAAGGGAAGGGAAGGGAGACGATAGGAGAGGAGGAGAAAAGAGAGGCACAGTCAGTCAACAGCGAGTCCGTGAGCTCAGGGGCCAGTACGGGCGGAGAGGGGCCGGCCCATGGGGGACTTTACCTGCTGCCAAAAAGCCGCCAGCAGCAGCAACGCCCAGTAGGAGAGCTTCCCGGAGGCGGCCGCCATCCCGCGGGGCTCCGCTCTCCTGCCTGCCTGCCTGCTTGCCTTCGGGCAACTGGTGATTTGATATCTGGCGAGACTCGACTGCTCAGGGGTGCGCCCTTGCTGGTTCTCCTGGCTCCTCACTTACAACCTAAACCGCAGCGATGGCAGGGGTGGGAGGGGGGGTAGTCAGGTAATCCAGGTGCGGGCGGACAAGAAAGCGTTCTCCTTGCGGGGGTGTAATCCTGGGGAGGGCGGGCGCCCTGTATTAACTCCTCGGAGTCTTGTCGGAGGAGGACAGGCAGCGCCTACTCCAGCTGCTCCCTAGTCTGTGCGCAGCGCTGGGACTGGAACCTGCGCGCCCCAGAGCCCTCCTTATATATACTTGGCGCTTATCCTCGCTGGCCTGTCACTCAGACTCAGTTGGTCACTCTCCCCTCCCCTCTCGGCCTCTCTTCGAAGCGGAGCCCAGCGCCTCCGGGAGCGAGCCCCCGCCCCTGCCGCCAGTGCCGCCGTAGCCCCCGCCCTCCTGCGCCCCCACCCCAAACCCAGGTGGCCTGGAAGTCAGGGAGCGGTGGGGCTGGAGGCTGGAGGCTTCCAATTTTATCTTTTGCTGGGGAAGAGGAGAGAGAAATAAAATAGGTTGGGGAGGGGGAAGGATGAAGAGGGAGAGAGGGGAGGGAAGGGGAGTTCCCGGATGACCACGGGGCCGGGAGACTGGGGAGTCCCCATGGGCGGCGCGTCCCAGTCCAGCCCTGGGTCACCTGCATCCTTTACACAGGTAGGAAGTGCAGACTTCAGGAAAGCGAAACCAGTGACTTAGCTAGGTCCGACCCCAACCCCCACCTCCTCTCCAGAGGTTTGGCGTGGAACCTTAGAAACTAGGGTGGTAGAGGAAGAGGCTTCCAGCTTCCCCCATCTCCATTTGTGACATGGACCTCAGGCGGGTTAACCTTTTGATTACTAATCCAGACTAGGTGGGGGAGGGGGAATGTTCTGCGCGTGCCCCCTACCCCCGCCTGCCCTCGGCTGGCGCGTGCCAGCCTCTGGGGCGCGTGGTCCCCAAGGTGGGGGAGGGGCTATGGGATGGGAGAGGGAGGAAAGGGGGCGCGTCCTCAGCTGTATGTTAATGAGAGGTCTGTCCAGCTCCTGCCCCCAGCAACTCTCACCTGGGCTCAGCTCCAGCCTCAAGGCTCCAAGAGAGATGCGAAAACCCAGCCCTGTAGTTTGGATCCCTGGGGCGCTCAGCGGGAGAGACAGGGTGGCCACAAAACCATTCTAGCGATAAGAAGAGTGATAGGTAAAGAGGGAAGGACCTGACTCCCCTTTCCCTGGGGTCAAAGGTGGGAAACTGAGACCTGGCACAAGGCCTAGTCTGGGGCTCAGGGAAGCAGAGACCTTCCCACGCCCTGCACCCTAGAAGCACCCAGCTCCCGTAGGCCGCCCAGCCTCACTCTTCTGAATCTCTCCTACTCAACTGCTTTCACGGAATCCTGCGCAGCCTGGGGAGGTTATAGGACTGGTGTTCCTTGGTATCCGGAGTGCCGGGGTGCTCTCGGCAATGCCCAGAGCTGCAGAAGGCCGGGTGGCTTCAGCTGTCAGCTCCACCCGCGTGGTGATGGCTTTGGCTGGGCGATAAGATCGGCGCGGGGGGAGCGGAGACGCGGTGCGGGGACCCGGGGGAGGAGGAGAAGGGGGGGGAAGCGGCGCGCGGGGCTGAACAGCTGCTTGCGCGGTGAGCGTGGTCTGATTTTTGACTCACGGCGGGGGGGCGGTGCGGAAAGGGGGAGGTGGTGAGAGGCAAAGAGAGCCAGGGAGATTGGACTGTGTGTTGGGGGAGGAGGGAGGTGATGAGAGGGACCTGGGGGGGGTCCCCCACGCACGGCAACCCCTCCCAGCCCCCACTACCATCTGGCACGAGCGGGTTGGCGTGGGGGAGCCGGGCTGGAGTGGGGCGGGGGCCGGCAGATGGGCCCAGGCTGCTCTCTCTAGCTAATGTAGGTTACAGGCAGGCAGAGAACCCAGGCCCGAGGGAAGAGAGAGCCCCGGGCTTGCCTCCCGGCTCTCTAGGCAAAGGGGTTCCTAAATCCCCGTTCTCATCCCACAGCTTTTTAAAAACCAACCGAGAATGCCAAGGGCTTCCCCTCTATCCTTCTCTACTGGCTACCTGACTTCCCCATCCCCGCTTTGGAAGGAGAACTGTCCTGGTCCTTCTCAAAGCTCTAGCCCAAAGTACTGGCCTTTCCAGTATTTTCTCCCCAGACCTTTTTCATTCTTTTCCAATCCGCTTTTCTCAGGTTCCCAGACTGTAAGGTGGACATTTGGGTAATATCCAAGGCAGAAATGGAACCACTTACAACACCCTTAGCTCAGAAGAATGCTGCAGGGTTGGGAGTAGGACCCAAGAATCCAGTTCTCGCACCAATCCCACCCATCCTCAACTAGATGTGGGCCCTGGACTCTTTCAAGGTTTGGGCTCCTCTCCAAACTTATGTCTCCTAGCTGCCTTCCTTCCCCAAAATGTTTCTCTGTCTGCTCCTCCAGGCGGCTATCCAGAAGTAGCCTAAGATCTGCGTCCCAGAGCGAGGGGAAATCCAAGAGGCCTCAGAGGAGACAGGCCTTGTTTGTGGAGAGGAAAAGGTTAAATAAATGCTCATCATCAAAAAGCATTTAGGAGGCGTCTCTCTGCACATGGTGCTATAGTAGGAGCTCATTATCGCGTTCTGGGTCCCCTCTCCTGCTCCAATGCTTTGCCCCTTGGGCTTTGTCTACACTTAGTAGGGAAAAACCTCCATGGGAGGGGGGAGTGGAGAGTGGGAAAGGGGTGGTGGACCGAAGGCCTAAAGAAAAATCTAATAGCGATGAAGTCAGGATTTCCAGCCGAGCAGTGTTTCTGTCCTTTTTCCATCACCCCCATTCAGGGTTTGTGGACTGGAAAGCCGAACACGTGACTAGGGAGTTAGTAACAGTGACCCTGCGGGGATCGAGTCCAATTGCAATCCTGCCCCGGGTGGGCTGGTTCTGAGACGGCCCTCCTCCTCTAGACTCGTGCGGAAGGCCAGAGTGCAGAACTTCTCTCGCCTCCACTCTCTCTCATCCTACCCCACTCCACGACAGGGATGGGGATGAGAAGGTGTTCTAGCCTCATATTTGTCCGTCGGAAGCCAAGGTAGGATTTGGCTGGGCCAGGACCCGAGTGCGGCAAGGCCAAGGACCAGCTTTTAGATATAGGGCCCTGGTGCTGACTGGTGGGGCACTACTCCTCTGCCCTTAGGATCTCAGGCCGCTCACAGAGGCCTTAGCTTCTAGTGGAACATCCACTGAGCCGGGCTCCTTCTAGTCAATGGGGCTAAAGGGGGACCCAGCCCTATGCATAGAGTTCAGGGATATAAGTAGCTTTCTTCTTTATCCTACTTGCTCCACAAGTGACTAAGCTATCCCCCAAGTCTATGATTAGATACTCTCCGTCATTAAAACTTGGGGGAGAACAAAACGTTAAATGGGTCTTAAATTGCAAGCTTGGAAGGCCCAGATCCGGGCTCGCCTAAATTCGTAGAACCCTTGGAGGTAACTTTTTCTCCACCCAATTTCCCCTTCCTTCCATACAGAGCAATTAGACGCAGAACAGAACAACAGAGCTTACGGCGAAAAACTTCCTTGCCTCTTTGCACCCCAAGGACTAGGGGCTCTTAGTTGATTCTCTGTTTGGGTGTCAAGGTCCTTGCGGATCAGCAAGCAGTTCTGTAACCCTGAACGACTGCAGCCTGGCAGAAGTGCGTCTGAGGGCCTTAGGTGCCTGGAAGCCTGCTGGGCTGAGGAGGGGGCAGGAGGCAGCGGGACGGTGGGTGGGGCGAGAGTTGGAGTTGGGGCCGCCACCCTTAAGCCTTGAGGGGCACTGCTGCGGTCGCGGCGGAGGGGGTGGGGGGTGGGGGGGAAGTGCGCGGGAGGCGGCCAGCGAGCTGCACAGAAGGCGGGGAGATTTGCAAACTGTTGCTGCCACATGGCTGCTCCCTTCTGCCCATTCACATTGTAATGAGGCCGGCGCGTGCCTCATCTGCCGCAGGGCGCTGCCACGCGCCAGCCCGGCACGCCGTGTGCCCACTGGGGCAGCGGGGCCGCCGAGGGCTGCCAACTAAGTGGGGGCGCAGCCCCAGCGTGCCAGAGCCCCACAGACCCGGAGGCTCGGGGTGGGGATGGGAGCGGGAGCAAGAGCTGGAGTGGGGTTGGAGCAGGGGTCGAGATGCCGCCTGAAGTTACCCAATCCTTGGCCCTGAGATTGGGCAAAAAGAGACGAAGCCCCTGGACCCAGAGGGTTGTGGCTGGGGCAGCGCCCCCCTCCCCCAGCGGCTTCTTGCTCCCCGCTCCCGGATCGATGCCGCCGCTCCCCGCAGACATGCCCCGGCCGCGCGGCTCCCCATCTGCCGCTGCTCGCACCTGCCGGTCAATAAATCGATTTTACAATTTAATGCAGCAGCTTCCCGCCCGGGACAGATGCCGCTGCAGCGCTACCTCTGTCCCCTCCTCCACCCCAGTTCGGACCTGGGACTCCTCCATCGACTCCTAGTCTCTTCCAGCTCGGTCTAGTTCACCTCTTTCTGGGAGGGTGATCCTCTGCAGAGAAGGAGCCTCTTTGCTCCCGTCTTCCTGCGTTCCTGCAGCTGCCCTCAGGGCCACATCTAGCTTCTGAGCCACCTGCTTGGGGCCTTTCAGAGTGGGGAGATTGGAGCTCCTGAAAGAAGGCCCTAAGACTGTTAAAGAGGGTTCGGGCCTAAAGTGTGTTAATCTGGAAATTTATTGATTTGCACAGTTTGGCATTTCCGGGGGCCTGAGGAATGGATTAGGTCATGTGATTGGAAAAGGAGAATAAGATGGTGCTGTGAGATTTGGGGGAAGATTGGACTGTGAAACATGGAAGACAAGAGAAGGGGCGACAAGAGCTTCTCCTCCCCGTGTTGAGCTGAAGATGTAGAGGGCATAGATTGGGGGGGGAGCTGGAGATTAAGACAGGAAGGGTAGGGGAGCTGGACTCCTCAATCAATCAACAAGTGTTTATTAAGAGCCTACCATATACCAAGTCCTGGGGACACAAGTACAGCTAATGAAACTATCCCTGTGGGAAATAGACTTATATTCTAATGGCAGAGACTCATAGAAGTCAGTGAACATCCTGAAGGAGTTGACAGAGAGCTGAAAACACATCTCTGGGGATATCCACAGATAAGAGATGAAGACAGGAGTGAAGGAAATGAGAAAAGGCTGAAGCAATGTGGTCAGAGACTACCAAGATGGCAGAGTCAGAGTTAGAAAAGTGGAAAGGGGCAGATGAGGAAGCCAAGGAAGATGGAGGAGAAGCTTTTGGATCTACCCAGGGAAAAGTAA